CCATAAAGCCATAATCACCACACATTAAGTACATATCTACTGTTTTTTCTAAAGTTGATTCGTCCATAAGAACATCTTGATTTTGAACAGATTCCTTCAATTCACCTCTAGGTTCACACTCTAAAAGAAATAACACAGAATATTTCCTGTTTGTAATAAAGGAAGGTGCTGTATTTGGGACTAAAATAGAAATAGGGGCAGTAATGACTATGAGGATTATGACTTGGACAATTCTCAAATACACTCTACAAAACAAGGAAGGGAAAGTGATATAAAGAAAATAGGTAAACATAGGGGTTAGGAAAAATATTGAGGAAGATGAAAAGTTTGTGCTTTATCATTAGAAATGCAAGTTTTAACCTCCATTTCAAATTTTGAAAACAGGCTCAAACTTATTCTTCCTGTACCCAATATTCCTTTTTCAAACAATAATAATATTAGTGCAAACATTTATCGAATACTTACCAAATGCCAGGCCAAATATCAAACACTTTACTTGTATTTCACTTAATCTTCACAACAGCTCTATGAAATAAACCCTATTATTATCTCTGTCTTGTGAATGTGACAAGTAGGTACATAGAATATAAGTAGCTTGCCCAAGGCCACATGTATTGTAAGTGACAATGCCAGATTTTTAACCTCGTCTGACACTAAAACCCAGGCTTTTGATCCCTACACTATATTGTTTCTTCTCAAAGCAGTCAAATAGTACTAAGTTTATAGGTATGCTATGCAATAACACCTATGCTAGACTTTCAAAGGTAACCACAATCTGGCCCTATCAACCTATGGATACTTTAATCAGGCATCCATTTATTGTCCCTAATATCCTACAGCATTTTCAATCCTATTCTTTTATTTTTTAAAAGAAATTTTACTGATTTTTAAAGAGAGAGGAAGGAAGAAGAAGAGAAAGAGGGAGAGAAACATCGATGTGAGAGGGAAACAATGATCAGCTGCCTCCTGCACACTCCCTACCAGGATGGAGCCACAACACAGGCATGTATCCTGGTCGGGAATTGAACAGGTAACCTTTTATGCATGGGATGATGCCCACCCAACTGAACCACACCAGCTAGGGCTCAATTCTATTCTTTTAGTGTTAACACTTCACACTACTTAGAACAGGGGTGCGCAAACTTTTTGACTCGAGGGCCACAATGAGTTCTTAAACTGGACCGGAGGGCCGGAACAAAAGCATGGATGGAGTGTTTGTGTGAACTAATATAAATTCAAAGTAAACATCATTACATAAAAGGGTACGATCCTTTTTTTTTAGTTTTATTCATTTCAAACGGGCCGGATCCAGCCCGCGGGCCGTAGTTTGCCCACGGCTGACTTAGAATGTAATTCCACAGTACCTTCACTCTCACAAATATATAAATTTGACAGGGCCTAGGGTTAAAGTCACACAATCTCCACAGGGCCTTTTCTAGTACTATACTCTTTATACCCTTCTCCAAACTTTGAATTCATTTAACTCTTTCATCATCCTGACTCTTAATTATGAGATTACACTGTCACTTTTATAAAATTGTAAACAGAAAACTATAAAACACAAAATTCTACTACCCCAAAATTAACTATTATTAATAACTGTATTTTCTTCTAGAAATTGCTCTATATTTTAGATAGAAAAATATGCATAATATATAGGCTTATTTTCTTGTTCAAAATTCTTTCCCATCTTATTGGTCAGTCTTCATAAAAATAATTTTAATCAGTTACATAACAACTAATTCTATATTATTATATTTCTGTGTTAATATAACATATATTAGCTTATTAACTTTGAATGTTTATCTAATGATTAATATTTCCTCAAAAGAGGAATCATAAAAATAGAATTACTGAACTAAAGGGTAGAAAAGTTATACTATCACATGAAGTAAGACGAGCAGAAGTACCTGAGTACTCATCTCCAGTCAAATGATCTTTCTTTAAATCTTTGTGAATATGATTTATACAAAATACTATTGATGCTTTAAATGTGTATTTTATCATTGCTCAGTAGGTTGGGCATTGTACTGTGGAGAGGGGTTAAAGGTTTATTCCCAGTCAGGTCACATGCCCAGGTTGGTGGCTTGATCTCAGGTAGGGGGGTGTGCAGGAGGCAGCCAATTGATGTTTTGCTCTCACATTCATGTTTCTCTCTCTCTCTTTCTCTCTCTCTCCCTCTCTCTCTCTCTCCCAAAATCAATTTTAAAAAATCTTAAACAGAAAAATATGCATATTTCATTCTTGACCAGTGACTTAGAGCATTATTTTCATGTCTATAGCTATTTAAATTTTAATTTTCTCAGTTATTTTTAATTTTATCAGCTATCTGCTCAAATTCTTTGCCTATGTTTCTAATAGACTCAGTGTTTCTTATTGTTTTACATGAGCTTTTAATAAATTATGGCTATTAACTCTGCTTTGCTTATCAAAAACTTTTTCCTCCAGTCTGTTATAAAATGACTTTTAGACAAGTTGTACATATAAATGATGCTTCTTTTATATAAGAGGGAAGGACATATATTTGTACCAATATAGACTTTTACCTGCTAGATTTTTAGAATACAAAACATTTTTAGAATCCATTTTTGGAATTACTCTCCCAAATGCTACTTAAACATAAGGCAATTGCTGTCCTTATAAAAATAGCCAATAGGTTGTCTAAAATGAATGGTTAAGAAGATGGAATAGTGCAAAGTAAATCTTTTTTTTTTCTTTTAAAATAAACTAAGGTATTGATATATAAGTAATTATTTTTTTAAATGTAAAATGGGATTATATTATACATGATGTCCTCTGGATAAATTCACATTGATCCTTCAAGATTCAATTCAGCCCTAACCAGTTTGGCTCAGTGGATAGAGCGTCGGCCTGCGGACTGAAAGGTCCCAGGTTTGATTCCGGTCAAGGGCATGTACCTTGGTTGCGGGCACATCCCCAGTGGGGTATGCAGGAGGCAGCTGATTGAGGTTTCTCTCTCATCGATGTTTCTAACTCTCTGTCCCTCTCCCTTCCTCTCTGTAAAAAATCAATAAAATATATATATTTTTAAAAAGATTCAATTCAAATGTTAATTAAGCTGTTGCTCCTAATATTTTTCCACTGTTCCTTATACTTGCCATTATAGCATAAATCCCATTATGAACATTTTTGTTTTGCTATCTGTATCTACGGTGTCCATAAAAATGCCCTTTTCAGATCTTTTCTGTGGCACTTAACTGGCAGCTAACAACAGCTGCTGCTGCTCTATGAATCCACCATGGCATTCATGCCTCGGCCACTTTCCCACAGCTGGTCACAGTCGATGACAAGTAGAGCAGGGATACTCAGGCCCATTTCTGTGAGACATAGGACTCTGAGAGGAGACTTGCCAGAACTTCCTTAAACTGCATTTTAGTCTCAGACTCTTCCTACCCACCCTTCCTTCTCTCTCCTTCCCAGGCGTTATACCTAAATCACGCTCTGACCTCACTCCCAGCCTCTTCCAGAGCCTGCCCCGTTTTTCACTGCAATTTTTCCTAATAAGTCTCTGGCAAGGCTAGTCATGTCTTGGCATCTACTTCTCAGAGAACCCAAACTAACAGTCTGTTAAAATGAACATTCCAGGAAGACAACGTGTATATTCTAATCGTCATTCTAGTTTAATTTAGCAAGATGACCCACCCAACATTTCAAAAGGTCTTCCCAAATGACTTGGCAAGCAACTGGTTTAATTTCCTTGTCTACTTTTCACCAACTCACCTGGTATGGGGCCTTCTGAGACTTCTTTTTCCAGAAGCCCTGGTTCAACCCACGGTAGCTGGGAAATCACATCTAATTTGGTAACTGGAAAGCCTGCTCATAGAGAAAAAAAAACAAAACACGAAAAATGTCTGTTTTCCATAGAACAAAGTCAGTCAGCATCCACACATAGAGTCTGGTTCTCCAGGGAAGAGAAGATACTGTCAAATACAGACAGCAAGACTGAAATCTGAAGAGAACATGGGGGAGGTTTGGTCTTGAGGAGGGCAAAATGATTCCCAACATTTCCAATTCAATGAAGCAAAGACTCTTTTTTGGAGAAAACTCGGCAGAAAAGTACATTTTCAGGACCCATTTTTAGGATTAATCATATCATTCCTGCATGCCCAGCCAAAACAGTAGCAATTGTCTTTTTTCAAAAATAGTGGCCAAAAAGATACCCAGGTTTGATGCTAAATCTTAAAGAGAAGGTGTCTTTACCCAGAAATTCTAGGTGCCTACAGGTCTCCAGTAGCACTTCCTTATATATCTCCTTTTGAAAAGGTTCCAGCTTCCTCCACTCTCCTCTGGAAAAATTCACAGCTATATCCTTGAATGTCATGGGTTCCTAGAACACCAAACACAGTCTTTTTGCATTGGATTATTCCTAAATAGATCCTAAGATTTCAGAAAATATAAACTATTAGTTTTGGTAGTATTTAAATTTCTAAGGATTCCAAAGCAAGCTATCAATACTTACCTATTTCTTTCATATTGTACTAAACTGGCTAACATATTCAGAAAATACTCATTAATAGCAGTAAGTTTAAAACATCCTTATCTTTTTGTGGGCATTATAAGACCTGCTTTTGATTTTCCAGCGGGGGATTTTTTTTATCATGTTAGGAAATACATTTCTATTTTCACCTGGCTAATTGTATCAGGACTAACTGTTAAATTTTAGCCAATGTTTGTTTTTATTAGAGTCAACCTTGTGACAAATTCTCCAGACTAAAAAAAAAAAAAAAAAAGAATGTGAAGAATAACTTTGAAGAATGACAACAGGAGATTGTCTTACTTATTCTATCTAGTATTTTTATACCACTCAGTAGGAGGTCAGTAAGTATTCACTTAAGAATGAAAACCAGTGAAAGGAAACTTACCCTGGACTCAGTATTTGGAAGGACAGAAATCGTTGTATCTTCTTCAGGGTTCTCCTCTTGGGAAATAACAGAATCTTGAGAAACTGGAAGGGAAGAAAAAAATACAGTCCAGGCTTTCAAATGAATTCCTCAGACTAGAAATTCCTATATATGTCTCTGGAGAAAAAGGTCATAAGAAACAGAAAAAGTTTTCTCCTACTCTTTAAAACAGAAAGGAGAGCCATAGATATAGATTCCCGTTAAAACCCAAGCTTATCCCCTTACCCTGTAAAATATCCTTTCAATTCCTAAGATTACAAAAAACTGATTTCATTCATTCTATACACTCACAGTTTAATGTATTCAGTTTGCATAATTTACAATATTTATAAGATGCATTAAGGTAAAACCATATAGTATGTATTAATTTGTTTTCTTCATAGTCCTTCCCTTGCACAAGAGTCACTCATTAAATGAAAGCACCAAGCTGATCTCAAGAACTGACTCCAGCTCTGAAATCACCATCAGAGTCCTGAAGACAGAATCAGGAATTTGAACCTATGAACTGAATGTGTTAAATACCCACAAGATGTAGCCCTACTTTGGTTCCGTAGAGAGAGTGTCAGCCTGCGACTGAAGTGTCCCGGGTTCTATTACGGCCAAGGGAATATGCCCAGGGTTGTGGGTTCGCTTCCCAGTAGGGGGTATGCAGGAGGCAGCTGATCTATGATTCTCTCTCATCATTGATGTTTCTAGCTCTCTCCCTCTCCCTTCTTCTCTGAAATCAATAAAAATATTAAATACCCCTGAGATATTAACAGCTTCTAATAAGGGCAAAGTGGCTTTTCTTTTAAATCATATTTTACTTTCTTATGAAAAGTATTTTAGGCAGTTTATTGATTAGATAATCAATGGAAGTTAGGAATCAGAATTATGCAATCGAAGAGAAAAAAGGGATTGTTATAAGGAAACTGCTCATTCATGAACTGAATGCTAGAGCAATCAATTCATGAACTTCTTGATTGCAGGGGCTCCACACAGAGGCCCCAGTTTTGTGGAAGCACCGGCTGCAGTGACAGACAAGTCGGAGAGGAGTCAGGAAGCCCAAATTTTGGATACACCAATGAGCTGTGTGACCACAAGTTAAGCCTGTGGAGATAAACACCCATCTATCTCAGAACTCCTGGTAGAATACAAACTGTCACGCATATGTACTGAGAGCCTTATGGTAAATAATACACATAAATATTTAGAATATTTGTAGCATATAGAGGGATTTTATACAAGTTGAACCACATGCTCTCAAAAGGGCTAGCCACCCTAGAAGTCTTTTCATCAATTTTTTACAATGATGTAATCATGTTGTAATTCATAGTGTACATTGTATACACTAGTATATAATGTGTAATGATGTAATTATGGAAATGTCAGCTGTTCCCGAAGGCTATGGAATTGTGCTATCCAACAGGATATTGGATATTTAAATTTAAATGTGGTTATTTAAATTTAAATTTAATTAAAAACTCAATTCCTTATTTGCACCAGCTTGAAGTGCAAAAACAGTGCAGAACACACTTCCCTCATCACAGATACTGGACAGCACCATTGTAGGAATGTGCTGCTGCACACACTGGAGTGAGAAGTTAAGGCCTGGCTGGCTGATATGGTTGTGGCTCCAAACATTTCCGGGTAAAGTTTTTCTCTCCTGCGTTCTAAAGTCCCCTCTTGCTCAAGGGAAAGAACTTATTGTTTCTTGAGCATCCACCATGTACTATACTTGCCTTATTTATTCCTCACAACACTATAGATAAGATGGGGTCCCCTTGTTACAGCTAAAAGAATTTAAAGTTCTGAGCGGTTATGTAGCTTCCCCAAGGTCACACAGTAAAAGACAGGGAATTCAAACCCAATCCCACCTCTAAACTTAGTCTTATATTAGCCTCCTCTTTAGCAATATATTGCTATCTTTTGGGGAGTTCACTCTCATACGCTAAGGAGAGCTTTCCCACTTCTTCCCTCCATCTATAAATCTCACCTTCCTTTCCTTCAAGCGTTTGGGTCAAATCCTCTATTAAGGTCACCACTTTCTCACTATTCTCAGGACGTTGTGATTTTACCCAAATCCTGATCTCCCCGGGCAAAATGGACAGGAATTGCTCAAACACCAAAAGCTCTAAAATCTGTTCTTTTGTGTGGATGTCTGGCCTCAGCCACTGAAGGCAGAGCTCCCAGAGCCGATTCAGGGCTTTTCTGGGTCCAGCCTCTTCTGAGTAACAAAACCATCGGAACCTCTGCCTGAGAGACTCCGGGTCGGGAGTGTTTCCTCCCAGGATAGCGTCTTCCTCCCCAGGTGTATCCATTCTCAGGTCCTTGTTTTGTTGATCTGAAGCCAGAGCATGAGGCTCGGAGGAGATGGCCGTCATCTTGTTCGCGGGTGTTACCGCCTGCAGTCTGTATCACCAGCAGGAACTCGGTCCCCTTAGACTCTAATTGGATATCAGTACAGTCCACCAACAGGCACTATAAATAGCAAATATCAAGGATTCAGTTTATGGTCTTGTAGGAACTGTCAAGAAATATAAGATATTAAATAAGTGAAATGAATCATTAATCCTAAAAACATTGTTCTTGGTTTGGTTCATAGATATAGATATATAGATATAGTTATACAGACATATATTCTCAGAGGCCTAAGACAGCCTTGCCCAGCTACTATATTAAAAGCATAATTTTCTTGGTAGGTGAAAAGCCGAGGAGTTACTTAAGGGTAATTAAAGGTCCCCTCGAGAAAAACAGTTTCTTCAGACTCAATACTCCTCATAAGCAAAAGTGATCAGAAAAGGCTCAGGGCTACAGGAAGAAACAGTCGCCAACCTATTCATCAACTCCCGCCCTCTCTCAGGGAATGGCCACACATTTCCACCAGCTGCTCAACTCAGAAGCCTGATTTCATACTTGCCTATCAAATTTCTCACATAATCAATATCCCAATCTCCGCAGCTTTCATTCCTAAGAACCTCACCAAAGGTAGTTTCTATCCTACTGAAACTACCTAAGGAGAGGCTTCTCCAATCCAGTATCACACTGTAGCCTAAGCAACATAAGATCCCTCCCCAGCTGTCTCCAGATAAAATAGAAACGCAGAGGTCAGGCATGACGATCTAGAGACCCTGTCCGCAGGACCTCGCCTCTTGAGCTCTACCTAGTGCCCTTGATGGACACTGCAAGAAAAAAAAAAAATGTATCTCCTCCCACCAAAAAAAAAAAAAAGCATCTCTCCATTCCCAGACACACTACGCCCTTCTATCCTTTGCACTAGCGCCATTCCTTCTCCTCGGAATGCTCTCTTCTTTCCCTCTGCAAGCAAAGGTTTTCCATTCTTTAAAACTGTCACCTTTCTATCCTTTCATCTGTCCCCTCTGGGTGACGCTTTCTCTGAACCACAGGTGCTTTTCTGCGGAGCCTGTCCTGTGCCGCATGCATTCTTTGCATTCTACAAAGAACTGATCGTCAATGAGCTGGGAACGGGACGCTCGGGAGGCAGGCAGGATAGGTCACACGGGGTCCCCGCCCCCACAGAGCTCCCAGCCCGAGATGTGCTACCGCGCAGCCAGTGCCAGAACACTCTCCTCCTACTGCAACGGTGGTACCAGCCATTACCCACCTCCGAGCACACAACCCGGCACACGGTACGTATGACGTCACTTATTCCTCGGCCAAATATTAGGTGCCTACTACGAACCGGGCGCCTTGCTGGGCATCTGGGGGCTCTGCGGCGACTAAGACACTCCTCTAGGTCTCCAGGGAGCTTACAACAGAAGCACCGAGAAAATGTGACGCAGGCAGAAATAAGTTCTCCAATAGGGGTGGTGGTGGGGAGGGGGAACAGGTGGGGGTTTGCCTCGCAGGGAGCCTTGGCAACGCTGAAGACATTTTGGTTGGCACGACTGGGGAGGAGGGATGCTACAGGTACCTAGCGGGTAGAGCCAGGGATGCTGCTAAACATCCTGCCAGACAAGGGACAGCCGTCCTCCCGCCACGCACACATAACAAGGAATCTGCCCGCTGAAAATGCAAAAGTACCTCAATTGCTAGACCCCGGGAGCAGGGAGGGGATGGGGGAGAGCTCGGGCATTTAGGAGCGTGGCCACCTCCCACCGGAGCTGCGGGATTGGGAGCGCAATATCCCAAAATCCCTCGGCACCCACCCCTACCCAAGTGCCTCCTCGGAGCCGGCGACCTGGTGGTGGCCCCCAAATGAGGGGCCCTGGGCAAGCACTACCTGCATCAGGACCAGCAGCCAGGACCAGCGCTACCGCAATGAGCTTCCAGAAGCTGGTCCTGCAGTAGCTGCGCGCGCAAGCCGGCGGGGGACCACTGCGCCTGCGCAAGGGCGCAGAACTACGATTCCCGGGGTGCGCTCCTCTCGCTGTGCGAAGCCCTGCGCTTTCCATAGGCTCCCACCCGGGCCTGTTGCGCGCGATCATTGGGAAGCGGCCGGTGGGCTCGGCCACAGAATTATTGCTGCGCCAGAGGCCTCAAGGCCTAGAACATTCTGAGGTTTTCAGATCTATGATGTTATATCTCCTTGGTAACCTCAAACCGTGTCGCCCCCCTCCCCTCCCTATCCATCTCAAATCGAGGCTGGGAAAACCCACCGCAGAAGCATATGAGTGATGCATTCAATGCAAGCCATGATTCATGCTGCAACTTGAATTAAACAAACATTAATTTTATGACTTTCAACCTGCCGCCATGGTCCAAAACACCATCATGCTTCGCCTGAATTATTGCAATAGCTTCTTGATTTCATTCTTCTTCACAGCACAGCCAAAGAGATGCTTAAAAGCGCCCCTCCTCTGCCTGAAACCCTGCAAAGGCTTCCCATTTCACTCAGAGTAAAAAAATCATATTTTTACAGAGGCCTATAAGGCCCATGGAATCCGGCCACCCATGACTTCCCTGACATCTTCCCCCACTTCCCTGCTCCAGTCACAATGGCCTCCTCACTCTCCTTTCCCTCCTGGCTGACATGCTCCTCACAGAGGTAGCAGTATGCTTCACTCTGCTGATCCTTCCTATCTTCTCAGTGACGCTCTCCCACCACTAACCCTATATTGCAACCCCACCCCTTCCCACTCCTGTTTCCCCTTCTAACAGATCATATACTAGTAATTGTCTTATTTGTTTACTACTCATTGTCTGTCTTCTTCACTAGAATATCAGTTCTACAAGATAAGGATTTTTTTTTATCTGGTTTGTTCCATGGAAGTACAATCCCCCAAGTCCTAGAACAGTGCCTGACACATAGTAGGTGCTGAATAAATATTTGGTGACTTTCTGGGCACTTGTATGGATTACTAAGGGCATAGCAAAATTACTAAGGGCTGAGGAACTCTGGAGCACACCACAACATGAGGAACTGTATTAAAGGGTCGCGGCATTAGGAAGGTTGAGAACCACTGCTCTAGAGGATTATTTGGAGGGTCCTAATAACTAGATGGCTTTTGGAGGGGTGGAATGAGGAGAAAAAGATTGAAGGAGCAGGACGGGACAGACCAAGCTCAACTAACTGAAGCCGCTGAGTTTGTCTCAAGCTGCGGAGACAGGGCTGCCTCAGTCAAGAAGCAGCTACACCAGTCCCAGGTCTGAATGCATATTCTTCTCCACCTACCTCTGCTTGGGTGGCTGAAAATGGAGAGACATCAGCGAGTAGCTGGGGAAAGTAGAGGAACATGAAATGAAATCGGCTCATTAGTTTAACTGGGCAGGTCAGAGAAACAGTCGTGGTTCTCAAACTTCAGTGTACCTTACAATTACATGGTATTCTTCATTTGAATACAAATTTTGAGAACCTCCTCCCATACAACCTGTTGCAGGTGATCCTTGACTACACGTCGAGACACACTGCATTAGTAGAAATATTCTGTAATTAAATGACGTGCTACCTATGAATAAATTACCAGGAAAGAATGAACCCTTCTTGGAACTGGCGGCCAAACTGCACATTTTTATTCAAAGCAACCATCATGGTAAAGAGTGGTGGACTGTGCATCAGTAAAGAAAGAGCAAACGACAAACAAATTAATAAGCTGGTGGGATCTCTAACCAGGATCATACCAGGAAAGAATGAACCCTTCTTGGAACTGGTGGCTAAACTGTACATTTTTATTCAAAGTAACCATCATGGTAAAGAGTGGTAGATTGTACATCAGTAAAGAAAGAGCAAACGGCCGAAACCAGTTTGGCTCAGTGGATAGAGCGTCGGCTTGCGGACTGAAGGGTCCCAGGTTCGGTTCCGGTCAGGGGCATGTACCTGGGTTGCAGGCACATCCCCAGTGGGGGATGTGCAGGAGGCACTTCCATTGAGAGGAGGTGTCGATGTTTCCTCCCCCTTGATCCTGGGCTGACCTCTGTAACTACCTGAGCCAATAGAATGCAATAGAAGTGACACTGCCTGGCTTCTAAGATTGGGGACATCCATGTAACTAGCATCCAGCATCCCAGAAGCCCCACTTGCTCTTTACTCTCTTTCAGTCGCCTCCCAAGGGTGACTGAAACAGAGCAGAATGGTTTTGTTTTCATACCCTAGAATCTCGAGTCTACATAACGTGAATCATATATCTACTCTTTGTATGTAGCTTCTTTCATTCACATTATATCTGTGAGATTTATCAGTATTGTTGCATGTGGTTATAAATCAATGAAAATCATTTTTGTTTTCATTGCTGCACAGTATTCCCCTGTGGCCTGTCATTTCTATTAAAATTTCTCGTATTCACAATTCCTTGCCCAGTCTCTGTTTCCCTATACACAGGTGGGGAGGAAGTGTGTGTATGTGTTTGTGTGTGTGCGTGTGTGTGTGTGTGTGTGTGTGTATGTGTGTGTGAAGGGGCCAATCTGTCTAGTTTTCCTGCCTTTCTTCAAGAATCACCCACTTTAGCCCTAACTGGTTTGGCTCAGTGGATAGAGCGTCAGCCTGCAGACTGAAGTGTCCCAGGTTCGATTCCATTCAAGGGCATGTACCTTGGTTGCGGGCACATCCCCAGCAGGAGGTGTGCAGGAGGCAGCTGATCGATGTTTCTCTCTCATCAATGTTTCTAACTCTCTGTCCCTTTCCCTTCCTCTCTGTAAAAAATCAATAAAATATTTTTTTAAAAATAAAGGATCACCCACTTTAAAACAAACTGAAGAGCCAAGGTCCTGCCTGCTCCTCCTCACCCATGTTGTACAGAAATGACACGCAGGGCAGGGAAGGGTCCTGCCCAAGGTCACTCGGCTGGTAAATTGGCAGCGAACTAGCTTTGAGGAGAAGCCTTCCAGGAGGGGGAAGCACATCTTCCCCCATAGTCGGAGGGAGGAGGACAGCCTAGGGGGTCAGGAGAGGAGTTTTAAAAGTTGTTGTTTAAATGCCAAACTCTATCCAAAAGAAATATTACAGATGAAAGAGGAGTTTTCCTGACTGAAGCCCTGTGTTTCCCACCAGGCAGCCTTGGAGATATCTCTTTAGGACCCTGAAGGCTTCTGAACTCCTACAGTTTGAGTTGCCTCAAGGACACCAAGTCCCCACCTCCTACTGCCTCTGGCCCTGGCTCAGCTGAGACCACCAAGTATATAATGAGGGGGTAGGGATGGGCAAAAATGGGTGAAGGTGGTCAAAAGGCACAGACTCCCATTTATGATATACTAGAGACCCAGTGCATGAAATTTGTGCGGGGGGATGGGGTGTCCCTCAGCCCAGCCTGCACCCTCTCCAATCTGGGACCCCCTGGGGGATGTCCAACTGCCAGGGTTGGGCCTAAACTGGCAGTTGGACATCCCTCTCACAATCCTGGCTACTGGCTCCTAATTGCTCACCTGCCTGCCTGCCTGGTCACACCTTACTGCCCCACTGCTGCTGTCTCTCCCTGACTCACCCTCCTCCCAGCGAGGAAGGAGTGCTCTTCTCGTTTCCAAGTTTCCGGAACACAAGTTCCCAGATGAACTGTAAATTCCCCAAGGGTGACATCTGGGCTACTTTAATCTCTCTCTCTCTCTCTCTCAAATATATTATATTGATTTTTTACAGAGAGGAACATCGATGAGAGAGAAACATCAATCAGCTGCCTCCTGCACACCCCCTACTGGGGATGTGCCCGCAACCAATGTACATGCCCTTGACTGGAATCAAACCTGGGACCCTTCAGTCCGCAGGCCGACTCTCTATCCACCGAGCCAAACCGGTTTCGGCAGTGTGTGGGCTCTTGACTTCATGCAGGGAATATTTCACAACACAAGTGCAGGTGAATTTTAGAGGATGTTTTTTAAAGCCGAGACAGTAAAACAAGAAAGGGCTGGGGAAATGAGCCTGGCTGGTCTGCTTTGGCTCACTGAGTCAGAGAAAAAGGGCCTTGGGGACAGGTTCAGGGGGTTTGTCTGGGGCGAACTGCCGCTGCCCATTGCTGCCCTGGCTGCAAGCCTGGTTGGCAAATGGCACTAATTGAATTTCTGCCATCTGTTTCCCTGAGTAGGGCGATTTAAGCTATTACTTGTTGGATGGGGAGGAGTGCAAATCATTTACTCTGAAATGTCCCCGGTTTAGGGAAGATAGGATTCACGAGGTTGCTGCAAACTGCTTGGCATTTAGAATTTCTAGATGGCTGCAAACTGCTGTTTAACTATCTGTCTTAGTTTCTGTATCCTGCTTGTCCTGCTTACATCACAAGAAAAAACAAATTAACTATGTGGTGATGGATATTAATTAATCTTATTGTAACTATTCTGTAACACACACACATATATAGTATACCTTAAACTTATACAATAGTATACATAAATTATGTTTCCATGAAAAAACATATATATATATATTTCACTGGTAAACTTTGAGAGTAACACTTGAGCTTTATCAGGATAAAGTGAGAAGCCAGAATGCAAAGGATTCAAGACTGTTTACTGTAAGATTCCTTAAAGAAAATAGACTAAGGCAAGGTAAGAGGGGAAGTGACAGAACGGGGCCATTTTAAGGAGAATGAACATCTGCTATTTAGACTAATGGGATGAGGTTGCTATTGTCTTATTGTTTGTCTTATTGTCCAACTTTCCCTTCCCCCCATTTCTATTAATAGTCCCAACTCCCCACTGCAAGGTGGACAAGTGATCCAAAGTAAATCAATCTACTCTTCAGTCCCGGGATTTTAATCTTGACATTGTCAAAGAAATCAAACCTGGTTTTGTATTTGGATCAGAGATATCAGAGGTGACTTTAATTTCTACAGCTATGGGAGAGTCATTCCAAATACTCTTGATCTAACAAAAGGCACGGGGGCGTGGGGGGCGGAGAACAAACTTTCCTCTACCCTCAAGGTTCTTCTGGCTGGTCTAATAATCATATAGATGTGAGGC